TGTCAAAAGTGACTTGGTTGTGCTAGTTAAAGATGACTTGGGTTGCTCCAAGCAATCTGGAAAGGCCTCGACGGCTGGAAACCAACACGACGAGCACTTGCGACGAGCGTTTGGACAAATAAACATCTCCATATTTTGACAAATGCTCAGTGCGTATGTTCGCCCCCATGTCTGTTACGGGTTCAATCAATAATCTCTCACTATGACCGTGAACCTGATTGGCCCTACACACACACGTAGATAAGCACGCACACACGCACTCAAGGACACACACTAACGTTCCGTGCTCTCATGTAAACCGTTAAGTGTTCAGTACACTGTGCGCCAGACTGACGCGTCTTCTTGCTTATTCGCTACGAGTTGAAATACGTACTTGCGGTTAGAGTCCAGTTGTGATATCTGGCGACGGAGGTCAACATGTCCATGACAAATACTCCACCGGTCTTCTGGTCGTGCTCTACCGACAAACCTTCCCTGGACTCGTGGCATAGATGGCGGAAAAACTTTACGGATTACTTGGAATTGCTTCCAATCTTGAATCCAGCAGTATCTCTTACTGAGAAAAACAAAGTGAAGCTCTTGAGACAGTTTCTTGGAGATAAGGGTCAAAGGTATTTCGATGCACTTCGTATCGATCAAATCTCTTCTACGATAACCGGCGCTTTGGAAACCTTCAGTGCTCTTTGGGGTGCTTGTCAGAATGTTTTCACGGCTAGATACTACTTCTCGAAACTCTGCCAGAAACCAGATGAGAGTGTGAACGAGTTCATCGCTTGTGTACTACAAGCAGCACCTGATTGTAAATATAATGAAGTCGATCCAACGAGATTTGAAGAGACCATGTTACTCCAATGTTTGATAGCCGGAATCTCAGACCAGAGCACGCGGGCGAAGCTCCTTTCACAAGATGATTGTTCACTGACCTGGGAGACGGCCTGCTCGATTGCCCGGTAGAGGGAACACCTTACACAACAACTCGCAACATGTACGCTGAAGGACTCGTCAGGTGAGCTGCGATTGATTAACAATACACCAAAACCAAAGCCACCCACTGGCGTCAATTTGTTTGTGTGCTATCGTTGTGGTGAGCAGCACAGTTGTCCATCCGACTGCCGGCATCAGAAGACAGTATGTCGAAGCTGCGGGAAGGTGGGCCACCTGGCGCGAGTGTGTAGATCGGTCAAGCGACGTTCAGGTGGGGCCTATCGAGGAGCAAACCCCATCAAAACTGTGGACGAATCTGATGGTAGCGACCCTGAATTACATTCCATTTGGCTTAATTCCGTTCCTAGCATGCAGCCGGCGCCATACACTCTAGAGCTTTACACTGAAGGACAAAAGGTACAGATGGAAATCGATACAGGAGCATCCGTGACGATAATCTGGGAAAACGCTGTAAAAACGCTCCCGAACTTATCCGCTTACAATTCTGTTCTTCGCACATACACCGGTGAACCTATACGTATCCTTGGTAAATGCTTCGTGAAGGCACAGTATGGCGACAAAATACGCACACTTCCTGTATATGTGATCCCCGGGGATCGTCCAAATCTGCTTGGAAGAGACTGGATACGTGCTCTCCCGGATACAATGAATGTGGTAAAATTAGTCACCGAGGTCTCCGGACTTGAAACATTACTTAAACAACATTCAGCTGTTTTTTCCGAGGAGCTTGGGAAGTTGAAAGAATTTCAGGCTGCGATAAAACTAAAGGAAGGCGCTCGACCAAAATGCATTAAGGCGCGCACACTACCATACGCTATGAGGCCTAAAGTTGAAGAGGAACTAAACCGCCCACAGACTCAAGGTATTATTACTCCTGTACACTTTTCTGGATGGGGAACTCCAATTGTGCCAGTAACCAAACCGGACGGCTCCGTACGGATTTGTGGTGACTACAAGATAACCATAAATCAAGTATCCATGCTGGTCAGGTACCCCTTGCCACATATTGATGACTTGTATGCAACATTAACTGGTGGTGAAAAATTTACCAAACTCGATCTGAGTCATGCATACTCGCAGATAGAGCTCGATGAACCTTCGAGGAAACTTACTACCATCACCACGCACATGGGACTATTTCAATATACTCGTTTACCTTTTGGCATTAATTCCGCCCCCGGAATATTTCAGAGAATTATTGACGACCTAGTGAAGGACATTCCTTTTGCGTGTGCTTATCTGGATGATATTCTTATCTCTGGACGCTCGGATACAGAGCATCTTCGAACACTCGCGGTCGTACTCGAGCGTTTGGAGCGAAGTGGATTCAGATTGAAAAGGTCTAAATGTGAGTTCCTTTCACCTTCCGTTTGTTACCTTGGATAACGGCTTGATAAACACGGTTTACATGTTTTAAATGACAAGTTTAAACCTATTTTAGAAAGCCCAGAGCCAAAGAGTTGTGATGAACTCCGTTCGTTCTTAGGAGTGCTATCTCACTATCGCCGTTTCCTGCCTAATGCATCGACAGTTCTATCGCCATTAAATGAGCTGTTACACAAAACTGCATCGTGGTGTTTGGGTTCCCGTCAAAAAAACGCCTTTAATAAAGCAAAACAAGCTCTTGCTTCGCCACCAACGTTAGTCCATTATGACTCTAACAAGCCACTCATACTTCGGTGCGACGCGTCCCCTTGGGGGCTCGGGGCTGTTCTGTGCCACCGCATGGACGATGGTTCCTTACGTCCCATAGCATATGCATCGCGCACCTTACAGACGGCGGAGAAGAACTACTCACAACTGGACAGGGAAGCGCTAGCCGTTATCTTCGGAGTTAAGAGGTTTCACCAGTATTTATGGGGAAACGTTTTCGAGCTTCATACAGACCACAAACCATTGATATCCTTGTTTGGGGAAACCAAAGGTATACAACAAATGGCATCACCGAGGATGCAAAGATGGGCTATAACCTTGAGTGCTTACAGTTACAAGATTGTTTATATTACCGGCGTCAGAAACTGCACAACTGATGCACTCAGCCGTCTGCCGATCACGGAAACTGCACATGAACACGACCCTCCGTTTGAACTGGTTAATCTAATGCAACATCTAGACACAACACCGATACGGAGTTCAACAATCCGTCAATGGACGGATCGAGACCCCGTGCTATCAATGCTGAAACGCTTTTTGAACATGGGTTGGCCTCCTGAAGGGACAGTTGAATTACAACCGTTTATGATTCGGAAGAACGAACTGAGTCTATTCCACGGCTGTGTTTTTTGGGGCTCTCGTCTAGTCCCTCCCACCAAGGCGCGTTCACAGATACTTAACGAGCTCCATGATGCTCATCCAGGTGTGGCGAGGATGAAGGCACTAGCGAGAGGGTACTGCTGGTGGCCCAACATCGGCTCAGACATAGAGAACTTACTGAAGAATTGCGATATTTGTCAGGCGTATCAGCGGAGCAAGGCGCCAGGTCCAATACACCCTTGGCGTTGGCCCGACAAGCCCTGGCAGCGTATCCACGCCGATTACTTCGGACCGATCGACGGGACCATGTTTCTTCTACTTATTGATGCACATTCTAAGTGGATTGACGTACAGCCAGTTACTCAGGCGACAGCCGAATCCACCATCACTAAAATGCGCTCGTCCTTCGCTACGTTTGGCATTCCGGAAACCATTTGTACAGACAATGGTTCGCCTTTTACCAGTGCCGAATTTGGTAAATTTGTCGCCAACAACGGAATCCAACACGTTAAATCAGCCCCGTATCACCCAGCATTAAACGGATTAGCGGAGCGTGCAGTACAAACTGTGAAACAAGGCTTACTAAAGCAGCGAACAAAACTGGATCGGTTCCTATTCTCCTACCGTTCTACACCCACTGACGCTACCGGGAACTCCCCGGCGGAATTGATGTTCGGCAGAAATCTGAGAACGAGGCTTCATTTGTTGTTCCCGAACCCGCGTGTTGAAGTACAGGAGCGTCAGAAAAAGTTTGTGTCTTCGGAGGAATCAAAGCCGGAAGTTACATTTCAGGACCATCAACCTGTTTACACCAGGTTACCGCATGAACAATGTTGGCAGCCGGCGACTGTGCTCGATTCTTCAGGAAGTCAAAATGATTTGCAGCTTCCGGACGGCCGGGTTGTTCGCCGGCACTCAGATCATGTACGCCCCAGGAGCACTGACACACCTGCCGTGAGTCAGTCACACTCGGAGATCGCAGAGCAAGCTGCAGAGCACGACGAACACAGAACAACAGGGGAAACTCAATTACGCCGATCGACCCGGATTCGCAAACCGATCGAACGTTTTCAGCCATGACTGTAACGTCAGCCAAAACAGGGAGGACTGTTACGTGTTCAACCAATGATCGCTCACTATGACCGTGAACCTGATTGGCCCTACACACACACACGTAGATAAGCACGCACACACGCACTCAAGGACACACCCTAAAGTTCCGTGCTCTCATGTAAACCGTTAAGTGTTCAGT